ATTTCCAATGTAATGTTACATGTTTTCTTTCAACCTGGAGATGTGTCATGCTAAGCCTGTTTGTTATTTGTAGCACAACATAAATAAAAAATATAAAAAAAAAAAAAAAAAAATGTTCCATGTATCCTAGTACTTAAATTAACTCAACTCTAACCCTAAATTCAATATTTCTATTCAAAAAGCCTTTATGCCATAACTATAACCCATCTAGAGCTTTTCATTATTTTAAAACTAAGCACCCTGTGATCTAACTCTGATGTTAACTTCAATCACATCTTAAACCCTCTTCATCTTGTTTTGAAGCACTGAATTATTTGTGCCTTTTGGCCACTGAATGTTTGTATCTGGACCTTCCTAAAGGTACTGTTATCGTTTGGCACCTATTTCTTACCATTTCTAACATAATATTTACCACTGCATGCATTCACAGAGCTGCAAATCTCTAGAGATAGGGAGACAAAAGTAAACACAACACAAACTATTTTTGCAGACACCTTTTTGCTACTTCATACACTACTTTAATGTCTAACATTCATTAAAACATGCATATTATGGTGACATCCAGTGTCAGTTAGGCCAATGTTCCCCAACCCTCATGAACCACCAACAGTCCAGATTTTGTCAGTATCTCCATTGGAATAAAACGGGTAAATACATAAATCCTGGACTGTTGGTGGGCCATGAGGACTGGGTTGGGGAACACTGAGTTAGGCAACCAAAAATCTGTGTGCCTATAGTGTCCCTTTAAGGTATGCATGTTTGCTATGTATGATTGTAGTACGCTCAATTTTCAGTATATAATAGACAAAACAAACAGACACAAAGACACATATGGGAAGACCAAGTGGTACTTTTGATGCCTGTCTGTCAAATTTGCTTTAGACACATAAATAAGTGAGAGTGCGTTTGAGCCGAGTGGAAAATACATAATAAATCCAAAGCATCTCCTTAGACCACCTTATAAATGGTTCCACAAAACAAAAACATGGAATAAATAAATTATAATTTAGTATATGTACTATCTTCCTTTGGACCACTGTTTGCTGGATAGGATTATTTGTGTATTTTTGGCCACCACACATTTGTGTCTGTACACTTTAAAGGTTCTGTTATTGTTTGGTACTTATTTCTTACCAGGAGTCCTACCATATTATTTTTATTGTTTTCAATGGAGCATGGCCAGCTTTGGATTTGTATTTCACCCTCATTCTTATTTTATTTTATTTTATTTTATTCTCTCTTCATTGGCAGTAGAGACAAGCATGAGCATATACACCATACCCAACATGTACTATAACACTTTGCCAAATGACAGCTGTACATACAATATTTTATGATCATTCTTGACACCCTTCAAGTGGTAAAGCTGCATAGATTAGATTAAAAATATAATTCATACAATAACAAACAATGACATAAAAGAATAAAGTAACATCGCTGCTCATTGAAAGGATGGTGAGATGTGATTATGTGCATATATATTCGGTTGTTTAACAGTGCAATACCATTCTATGGATTCACATCTGATGTAGCATGCAAAAAGAATGTTGTCTATTTGTTCCACTTTGTGTGCTGTCCATTATGTGTGTGTCTTAATGTGGCCACTATTACCTCAAATTTGTGGATTTCCTTACTGTATTAAACCATTCAGAAATGGTGGAGGATCTCTTTATATCCATTTGGTTTGAATAAGTGAACCAGATGAAACTAATTAAATTAGAATACACATTTTTCTGTACTGGGCATATTAGAGGTCTTCTAAAAGGACTTCAGTAGGGTCATATACCAAGGGTGAATTCATAATCTCATAATTTTTCTGGAAAACTGCATCCCAGTAGGGTTGCACTTATGTGCAGCTCCACCAAATATGGAGAATTGTACCACCATGTTGGACACATCTCCAGCATAGATCAGGTATGGAAGCAATAATGGCATGTACTTTTGCTGAGGTGAGATTCCACCATGTAATAAATATATAACTGTCCTCCATGTATCTATGTATCTATTACTAGAGGTCTCACTTTGTGTGAGAGGCATAACCTTTTCATTCAGTGGGTGTCAATGTCACACATAGATCTTTTTACAGTGTTCCTTATATGCGGTTTTCTTACATAATAGGGAAAGGAGGTGTGTTGTTCATTCCACTGAAGTGCAAATGTGCTCAAAAATATATGAGTCCCTGGAGGGGTTGCGTTGAATGCATGAGGGAAGCAATTTAACATATCTTTTCATTTTGTGATACGTAAATATATACATCACAGAAGGAACTGCTTCTACCTTTAGAGTATTTAAAGGAAGTGGGTTACTACCAGACATGAACCTATTAAGTGCGGCAGAAGGAGGTTGACTATTAAAAAGTTTAGGTCAACCAGCAAGCAACAATGGCTTAGAAGTTAACGGATGCAGGGGCAATATTTCTGATGACAAAAAATATGTACGTTTTATTTTCCTCCAGGCTCAGAGAATAGAATAAATTGTACGATGCAAGTCTTTACAAAATTGGAAGATGGCAGCTATTTGCCATGGTAAAGTGCATAAGGTACAGATGAAAATGTCATAGAACTAGGGTTGCACCATTCAGCTACTAATGTCAGTTGGGACATTGTGTAATAGAGGAATGGGTTTGGGAGACCCAATATATCCATCTTTTGGGAGCGTAAGAGTCTCTAATTTAAGTCTCGGCTTCCTGCTTACCCATATAAACTCTGCTATAATTGTAGAGAATGAAAAAAGTAATTGGGGATATAAATTGGAAGGGTTGTGAAGCAGTATATGATTCATTTTGATTGCATTTGCGCAGAGGGGTGAAATTGTTTTCATAAAGTTTTGTGGTGTCTAAAGTTAGCATTTCCCTTAAATGTGAATAGCTGGACTCAATCTGTTTCCCCAATTTGGATAGTACTACCACATCAATATTTTCTGATTTATGGAAAAATTAGAGTAGTAACTATGGGGCAAAATTTCATCTAGGGTCTGTAAGTGGGAATAATAAATTATCCACATATGCAGATACCACCCCATATGAATTTCCAATTCTAAGTTCATGTATGGAGAGGTGTGACCTGACCATATGTTAAAAAGGCTCTAATGCCAAAACAAACATTAGTGGTGAGAGTGGGTATCCCTGCCCTATATCATTGGAAATATGCACCTTAGAGGGTGAGTCGCCCATTGATCCGAATTTGGCTTGACCTATTATCTTCACCTGTTCCAAAATCAAGCACCCCCAACAAGCTCTCTAGGTAGGGTCAGTCCACCTAATCAAAGGCTTATTTCAAAATAAAAATAGAAGGGATATGGGATAATTTAGGTCTATGAAGGAAAGGGATGAAGCCAACCTGATCAGGTGAGCCAGCCCAGACTGAAGTGGAGACTACCTGCCAGCTAAAATCATGGTAACCAATAGACTAGGGCACAGGAGACCTTTTCATTTCGTCCCAAAAAAATTTGTTTAGTCCAAAACTAATTTCAGGCATTGCCTTATTCATTTTCACACTAAATTTGTGCATTATTTTCAACATCAAAAAACAAATGTGAGGAAGGCTGAACTTGATGGACACAAGTCTCTTTTTAGCTATGTAACCATGTAACTATGTAACTGCATGGTCCTACCAAATTAAAGGGTGTATGGTAGTGGTGGTGAAGATATGTGAGATGCGGTATGAAAGCATGAACATACCGATTTATGACTGTCTGTTTTGCAGATAAAAAATAGATAAAGTCACGTGTTGAGGAGTATCCTCTAAGTGTCTATAAACTATAAAGTATTCAAGAGGTGCCTCAATTTATGTCTCTGATGTCCTTCCCTGAGCAAAGACCCTGAAGAGTTATCCAACCTATTGTTAAGTAAAAGTCCCCGACAAGCACAAGCACACTTTCCTGGAAGATTTCTAAAACTTTTATTACTTTGTGAAGAAATGTGCATGGTTTAACATTAGGAAGATAAATATTTACAAACATACATTTGTGAAGCAACTTGCCCCTTCACCATCAGGAATTTATCCTCTTTCTCTTCCTTGGTTACTTTGTCAATCTGTTTTTATTGAAGGCATATAAGATGGGATACATAAGACAAAGCGGGGGAAATGTACGGGTGGTTTACAATACATGGTTGATACATCATTCAGCAAGAGTATGTTTCCTTTCCAGAATAATGATGCCTCATTTTTTTAAAGTTTAAACTGTAGTATGAAAATACAAGCTATGGATCATAAGATCCGGAATGTAACATGCTAAATTAACAGTGCATTAACTAGTCTTAATGTACCAACTGTAAAATACAGTGTAGGTTAAACTATGAGTCAGCTGGTATGCATTTGCTTGTAGTAAGGCATATATAGGTAATCCAGGCATCATGCTAACTGTACTTAAACTGCGTGTTGTAATACTAGCTTAGAGCAAGCAGTTATAATGTGTGAACACATTTAATGCGCTTGTAGTTGCTATCTAAGTAAGGGGTCAATCATGTCATTGGCATTGTAAACTTGCAGCAAATCAGGTTGAGCATTTATAGTAAAGTAACGAGAGGCTGTCCCTGCGTTATAGTGATGACCCCTATTCATATCTAAGCACGCATACTCACACAAGTTAGACATAACTTTAGAGCACCGTAGTGGGGGATTACGTAAACTGCATTTAGCTTAAAACAGGTGTACAAGGCTAGAAAGCTTTGTTACCACTGGGTTCCATCACAACATATAGATAAAAGACTTTACGTATCATGTACAAAAGAGAACATTTCTATAATGGCACAGTATTAATATGTTAGCCAGGCGACATTTCATGTATGGCATATGATTAATTGCCCCTGGGCATTTAGGTTAGTTATGGATAATGCAAATAATAATTCAAATAACACAAATAATAATAATTGGGCAGCAAAATAATGCAGCTCAGTGTCAGTCAAGAGGGCTAGTGGAAGAAATGAGAAAAATAAAATGAAAATAAATAAGGCCCATACTCTGTGCGCCCAGGTGGTATCAGGCTGAGTCATCCTATGCCTTTTGGCGGCTTTGAGCTGGAGTCCAGCTGCTTCGCTTCCCCAGTAGTCTTGTGTGCCATCCTGTAGGTTTGATGTGAATACTGGAACTTGTGTGTGAGGGTGCCGTTCAGCTGTGATGTCACCATTCCTGACTGTAGTGAGGAGCCTCTGGTGGCTGGGCGTGAGGTGAGTATCTGCAGTCCTATGCCCCTCCAGTCTGTCTTGGTTAGGCTAGCGGTGCGAGAGGCAGGTGATGTTTGTAGGCTGCTGTCTGGTTGGCGGGCACGGGCCTCCTGTCTGCGTGCAAGCAGATCTTGTGCTCGGTTTCCCTTAGGTAACATACGATGGTTGGAGACCTCAGAGGAGTGAAGATGGTAAATTCTGGGGGATCTCGTGTCAACCCCCGGCCCAGGTAGGTAGCGTTTCAGGGCTGGGTTGCGTGGGGTAGCCCGGGCAGATGGGATGCCGGAGCGTGAGAGTTGCCCGGTGGGCTTGGTCGCTTGCGAGTGGGAGTGCTTGGGTAGCTTGAGTTTGTTTCCTCCATTGTCTGTTTGCGGTGCCTGCGCGGCCGTGTGGCTGCTTTGAAGGCCAGGAGAGGGTAGTCGTAATAGCTTCGACATGTTGTAGGCCGGATCCATGAGGCCACCACGCAGGCTGCGCGGTGATAGGGTACTCCCCTGTCACCTAGGATCTTACAGAGGTTCAGGCATAGCTGATCAATATTTTCCAGGGGGTGAGAGGGTAAGTGACTGCTCATGTTCCCCTTCTTTGGCCCATGCCAGACGACCATCTTGGATGGCCATGTAACTGGCCTCACTCGTCTGCAAGTGTAGTCCGCTTGTCCGTGATGACCCCTGCCAGTCCAGAGGGGGGGAGGGTAGGAGAACAACAAGGTCTTGTGGGGGTTCCGATGCCGGAGTGAGCGGCCGCCTCTTTCCTGCTCTCGCTCCAGTAGTCCGCAGCCGGCGTTTCAGTCGCTTGAGTCCGATGGGCCCTAGATGCACCCCGACTTGGGTAGTGCCCCCTGGGAGAGTTTTGGGCTTTGTAGCCACCGTGTGTGCCCTTCATGCTGCCCGCCTGACAGGAGCTCTTCTCCCCCACATCTGTTCGCTTTTAATGGAAAAGTAATGGCATGAGAGCAATATAGCTGGACCTCTTATCTGTGCCAATTTGGGGGTGATTTCTAATACATGGGGCCTGAGAGCCTTTATAATGGGTTTCCTGGATATAAACAATGGAAGCACCCAAGGAATTAAATTCTCTAAGAGATTTTGTTCTCTTTTCTGTAATATTAAGACATCTAGCATTTACAGAAAATAATTGAAATGAAGCCATTACCCTGTCTATTTAAATAGCATCAGCATTCTACTGAGTCATGTGGAAATGGTGAGTGATTGAAGCGAATCAAACAAAAAAAGGGAACTATGTACACAATTGAATACTAGCAAAAACATTAGGCATACATGTGCCATACATGTCCAATTATTAAATTAACTGAAAATGCCCAAGCATTATTATGACTACTATTTGAGGGAGATAAATCTGAAGCAACTGAGCGAGAGTTGTAAATACATTTTTAAAAATGATGATAAGTAAGAGCCAGAGCCCAGAGGTCAAGGTTGAAGTATTTGTATAGATGGGATACTTTGTATTTTACCCTTGAATTCTTTTATTGAATATATTATAATTATACATATAAGGTGATAGTTAAACCAGAGTTATATACTCTATCACATGTCTATAACGTAAGTATGAGATGTGAACCGCAGAAGTGAGATTGTGTGTCAGGAACTAGTGATCAAGGCATGCCTGGGCATCTTACACACACATCGTTTTTGGGGGAATATCGTAGCCATTCAAGCCCTTCATTGATAAGTCTCCATGCCAGGCAGGTGTGGTAAATTACCAAACTCTATAAATTATTATATAAACATAAACATATAAACTCTGGTCCATCTACTTTAACAAATATTTATTCAGAGACAAAACAACAACATACAAATAATGACACACAATCTAACTAACTATACCAACAACAACAACAATCTAACTAACAATAACAACTAAATCTTATAAAGTCACCAGATCCCACTCATAGTTCACCATGATACAAATTAGCCCATGTCTGCTCAGTAGCACAGCCAAGAAGGAACAGGAGGGAATGGGAATAGGGGGAAGTGGTTATCTCTTTCCTGACTTGTAAAGGTATTGAATTACCAATTACCATATCAAAGGGTAAAGCTTATGCCCCTGTAAAAAATGCATACATGAGCTGGGTCACATGACCCCTGGTCACCATATTAGTTTGATGACAGAATGTCACCACAGCAGGTTTCTTCAGCACCTGTAGACCAAATTGCTTGGCAAATTCAGAAATGTCCTCTGGTTGGTATACCAAAAACTGCCACCCTTGATACTTAAAGAGTATACCCAATTTTAATGGTAATAGCTTCTGTAAGGGAATTGAGGGTCCACCTGTCCTGCAGTGTCAGTCTTTCACATCCTCTCAGTGCTGCCAATATTACAGGACCTTGGTCGCAGAGTTAAAAGACTGCATTGCCCAAGCAGGCCCTTCTTCATCAATGCCCATTGGGTGTCCCAAAGTGAATGGGCCACCCGATGTACCCATTCAGAATGCAGGCCCACTGCAGCCACACTAACTGCATCAGCGATAGTTCCTCTGCTGTTCCCTGACCCGTACATTATTGCTCCTGGAACGGTGATTCCATCTAATTCCTCAATATATCTTTGCAATAAGGCAACTTGTTGTGTTCATGTTTGTACCTGATCTTGAAGAAGAAGCTCTTCAGTTAGGGTGTTGTCTCTTTCCTCTTCAAAATCTATAACACATGTCTCTAGTTATTTAATATTCCTCCTTATGTGGTCAAGATCCTCTTTAATTGAAGATTTTTTCCTTGTCCAGCATTGTTGTGATGTCTTGTTTGGCCGGAAAACATTGCATCATTGACTTCGTATTTTGAAGAGCCTCTATACCTAGATGCTCTTCTGATTCTGTAGAGCAGGCCATTATCTGCGCCTTCACAGCATGACGTGACCCCTATTGGATTGTGGTGTGTGTTGCTATGAATTCATTTAAAAGTTGTTTCTCTCTCGCACTGGGCCCTGTATGCTCTGTAGATTGTGCCCTCGATGCGCTGCCACATGTCCTCACTTCTGTTAGGTGAAAATACTTTATATGTAACCTATGGCCATGGTGATCTTAGAACATGTGGTCATCATGCTGTGCACCCCTAGCCTCATTGTACATATTTTAAGGTGCTCTTGAATTTTTGATCATTTGTAGATTCATAAGACACAGTAGGGTCTACTTTGTACAATATGCATTTATAATGTGTATTGTATTGTATTTTTCCTACACTTTGACAAAGTTTGACAAAAGGTGGAGTTACCTTCAATAAAGCCTTGTCAAGCACTCAGCTGCCCCAAGGGAAAAACACTCTTTCTGTGGAGAGTCACACAAAAGGTATGTTGTAGCTGACGTTTGACTAGAGCATGGGTGCCCAAAAGGTAGATTCCCAGATTTTGTAGAACTACAACTCTAATGATGCTTTGCATGCCTTTAGAATGTCTTTAGAACAACAAAGCATCATGGAAGTTGTAGATGTAAAACATGCCTAGAGATTTATGTATCAAGTGTTACATATAAGCAATACCATTTAGCATACCAACCTCTAAAGTGATGTCATATTTTCCATAAAGTATATTTAAAAAAAATTTGTATTTATGCATGCCTTATTTTTAGCATATCTTTCCAGGTGACAGACTGAATTATTTTACTTAAAAACGATCCCCTAGTAGCTTAAATATTTTATTCACTCTTTAAGCCTGTCCTGACAGATGACAGTGATGCTATGTCCTATCTCATATTTCTCGTGTAGGCACATTTCGACCATAAACTTAATTATCACAAGGATTTGCAAAAGACTCCAACTATTTCTAGACTGGCATACCAGAGGATAACCGTATTCTATTTTTGAGCCCATAAAATCCTCCCCCTGGAAGCATTTGTTTATCATATTACAGCTTCACATGAGCTGAGCTAAAGGCTGACCCAGTGTTAAGTGTCTGTGGTAGATTTCATTACATCCATATACTGGAAGTCCTGCCAATATACTGGCAGAGAAATCCTAGTGGAAAATAAATGGTAATAAAAAGGAGAACTGATAGCTTGAGCGAACGATGAGGGGAGCAGCTTTTATTGAGTCTGGACAACCCCAGAGATGTGACTTGGCATTCAGACATCAGCTTAGGAGAGTGTGAGTGAAAGATGATATTGGAATAACGACTCTGTGGCACAGACGTGGGAATAATTTAATTAATTGCTCCGAAATTTCTTTGATGAATAGTTATGTAGTGATAAGCATGAGGTCGAGCTGCAGAATGAGTTTCAGCTTTTTAATGGGCCAGCGCAGCTGCAGTTTTGGAAACACTCCCAGTTTTTTTTTTCTTCTGTTATTATTTTCAGCAAATGTCTTTTTACCACCTCCCTTTCCCAAGTTGTCCACAAGAGAAGGTGTCTTGGCTGAGGTTAGGAGACCGGTAGCCACTTTGAAAGAAATGCCAGATTGAAAGGAAATTATAAGATGGTTTGCTTATGATTCCTGCATTTTTTCCAGGGATTTTCTTGAGTAGACCTAGAAAAGATTTAATAACATTCTCAAGTCCCTCGAGAAAATGGTATGGCTTTGTTGTTTGAGCATTGCAATAGTTGTTTGAACAAAGCTACACAGCTGGAAACAGCATACTAATCCTATGATTTTTACTCTATATTTTCAGATTGAATAATTATGTACAACCACAAAAATATATATATTACTTTTTTTTTTTTACTATTTTTCAAGTGTGTGTGTCTGGACTAAAAAAGCAAAAAAGCCAACTCTATTATTTTAAACTCGCTAGTACCTAAAATATATTTAATAATTAGTGTATTTTTTATTTATTTTTATTTAATTTACCAATAATGAAGTAGCTATGACTTTTATGGAACACAGCTTCTTTTTTTTTTTTTTTTAAACAAAGCATGGGTTTTGATATAAAATGTCTAGTGACCATAAACCAGACATGCACCGTACAGTTTTGAGCTTTTGGAATTCATTAAGCTGGGAATTATTGGATAGGAAAGTATTTCTTGGGGTTTCTATAACCAAGGCAGACTTACAAAAGTCCAACTTGAGATATGCAGATAACAATAGTAATTTTTCAATCTGTATCAAACAGTGGGAACTTCTGCTCACAGGTCTATGTGCTCACCTTTCATGCCAAAACCACACTGAATAAACTATAAAGATTGAAGCCTGGCCATTAGTCCTTTTAAATCAAACCCATGCTTTAATTAAATAATAATAGGAAAAATAATGAAATGTGTTTAAAGGGATACTCTAAGCATCATAACCACTACAGCCATAGTTGTGATATGAGGAATAGCCTGGCCCTGGTAATGGGGAAAAAATGGTTTGCCCTCTTATCTGTTTCTCTACTAGGTGTTGAGGATCCATGGAGGCCTGGTGCCAGACTACCAGCTCCTGCAGAAGCTGGGTGCCTATGCCGGCACCATTCATTGGCTGAGAGCATTAGCTGACTGCTCTCAGCCAATTAATGCAATTCATAGAAATAGGAA